TCCAGTCTGCGGTCGGTCCAGTCTGCGGTCGTTCCAGTCTGGGGTCGTTCCAGTCTGCTGTTGGTCCAGTCTGCTGTTGGTCCAGTCTGCGGTCGGTCCAGTCTGCGGTCGGTCCAGTCTGCGGTCGGTCCAGTCTGGGGTGGGTCCAGTCTGGGGTGGGTCCAGTCTGGGGTGGGTCCAGTCTGGGGTGGGTCCAGTCTGGGGTGGGTCCAGTCTGCGGTCGGTCCAGTCTGGGGTCGGTCCAGTCTGGGGTTGGTCCAGTCTGGGGTGGGTCCAGTCTGGGGTCAGTCCAGTCTGGTGTTGGACACCTGACAGCAGTGGACCAATTATCACAGATTCGATACGTCCCCAAATGCCCAAATCAACCTGAAATATTGTCCCTACCAATAAATCGGTCGGGCTCTAGTTCTAGTTGGCAACAATTTTGGTGAAAATTAATTTTAATTTTAAAACGAGATAAGATGCAATAAATAATAATAATAATAATAATTGAGATTTATTTTTATTTTTTTGAGGAAAGTCACACGAGTCAGTTTGTTTTGGCAGCTGTGTTTAAAAAAAAAAGAAAAGATAAACGCTTGTCACTCTTGTTTAATTAAAAGGACTTCTTAATAACTCTAAATTTGTAATAAAACTGCTGGTATCTTTATACAATCAGCTGAGACGTGATATTAAATGAACATATTTATAAATAAAATAAAAATATGGCTTAGACATTTTGCTTTTCGATTCCTTAATTTAAAGACTTGATGATGAAGACAAAGTGTGTCTTCGCTGTGGCGCAGGGAGATTTTATGGATCAGCTGTGGGGTTTCCTTTTGGGCTCTCACAATCAACCATTTGTTCTTCAACAAACTGCTCCGGTATATTTTGTTTAATTATATTATTGTCATCGGTAAAAGCCGCCGGTGGCAGTTTCCTCTGCGGAGCTCGTGTCCTGATCTCTGGTTGTGTGCCATCGAGCCCAGCGGACGAGGAAGACCTGATGGATTTAAACCAATTTTCTCAATCGGTGCCAATTTACTTTTATTCCTGCGTTAAGCTTTTTGTTCAAAACAATAAAGCCACGTTAACTGAACTAAAGATATTAGTTGGAACCTGCTTTTCCCTGACCGTCCCAGCTTTTAAGTACCGGTAATACAACGTTGTTACACAACATTGTTAGAAGTTAAACATACGTCCGTTCTCACAGTTATAAATCATCCTGTAGCTTTAATTCCAACCCAGAAATATTCTGCACAGATCTGCTGCGTTTCTTTTCAAAATACACATTTAAAGACGGCTGATGGATTTATCGCCAATCATCGGTCGTTGGACTGACAATGGGCGAGTGCAGCGTTTTAATCCATGGGTTGGTCTACGTCGCTGCTTTATTGTTGCTCTTTATGAGACTGTCTGTAATTGTCTCTATCTATGACCTCCTGGCTCTTAGGCCTATTACATAATTAATGACCCAATTAAACAAAATGACTTTGCAAACCAGTTTGTTTTCAGTGTTTTTGTTGTAATAATTTATTTTTCCTCCTGTTCTCATTTCCAGTCAGAGGCCAGCGGGCTTCTTCCTGCACCTGGGATGGTGCCATGTGACAGGGCGGCTGCGGAGCCGTGACCCCAGCGCTCCATCGTCTCAAATTCAAGCCCTTTTGCTCAGCACCGATCTGAACCGATCAAGACCAACCCCAGCTCCCCACATGACTCACCTACCAGAGCCCTACATCAAGTAGGTACCTGTGTGTCCTCTCTCGAGTTCTGCAGCGCGTCCAAAGCCTTTCTCTCCACTCGAGAAGCGTGAAATTGATGTATTTGTTCTGTGAAGCGACGACACGCTGTCATCCACACATCGGTACCTTCTCTGTTCCTAACAGGGATGTTTCATTCAAACGTGCTCGGCCAAGTGTCCAGCTGAGTTTGTGATTCATCTGAAATAGAAAAAATCAAGTTCAGCAGCTCATATCTTTCCATAACTGTTCATATCTATGTGGCAGGGCTGGACGTTATGGCCACAACTTTTATCACGATAGATTTCTTAACTTCGGTCGATAACGATATAATTCAATATCGATATAAACAATTGAAAAGCCTCAGAAAAAACTGTACAAATAAATTAATGTTCACTTTTTATTTGTATATATAGCCTTCAGGAAATTTTGAAATCACCATCAAATAAACATAAAACTCTCAACTTTGTCAATTTCTTTTAAATGTATTCTTTCTTTTAAGAGAAACAAAACAAATGAATCAAAAAGAAACAAAACACTGAACGATGCAGAAGAAGAAGATCTGCCCCTTTATTAAAAAAGTAAAATAAAATAACTAGAAACAACAACTCAGGCTTGAACCCCAAAGCGAAAACAAAAAAAAAAACATCCATCTTTCTTCACATTGCATCATACTTTCCTAACAACTTTAACTTAATCATCTTTTTAAACGTATAAATAAGACATTTTTATGGTGATATCAAGGCTATCCCATAATCCTATTCCCTGAATTACAACGCAGCTCCTTCACACTAGTTCTAAATGCAGGTTTTACAAACATCTCCATTCCCTTAAGTTTCTTTTTTTTTTTTTTTTTTACAAATTTTAATTGAACATTTGGGGGTAATATTTTTTATGAGACTATATTTTATATATATTTTATTTTTTACATGACTTGTAAAATACTATATTCAACCAAATCATACAATTTTAATAATTTCAATTGATAAAGGTTGAATGCCTAAATGATGAAATAATATATTTGTTGGGTGAGCGTAGCACTTCCTACTGATAATTCTTATAGCTCTTTGTTGCAAAATGAAAACAGCGTTAATTGTTTTGTATGCTTTCCCCAAATCTTCAATACAGTAGATTAAATATGGAACAATCATTACATTATACAATATATATATCAAGCTTTGTCATTCAAAAACTCTTTTACTTTATTTTGCTGTTTTTATTAAGTAATTTACATGAGATTTCCATGTCATCTTCTCATCAATAACAACATATATTAATAGTTTTAACTTTAAACACCATAACATAACCCATGCAGCAGACGTTCGCTGGGGGTGTTTCAGGGACACGTCGGCTCAAACTTTTATCGTGCTTCATCTTCTGACTCTCAGCATCTTCTATGGAGTGGAACGAGTTAGATGTTCCCACCGCTAGTTGGAACGACTCTCCGTCACGTGCACCACACTGAAACCTGCAGTTTATCAGATCTTAGAAAGCCGAACCACTTCCACACCGCCAAATTAGTCTTTCCTCTCTTTATCAGTTACGTCATCTGCTTTCTCTTCGCTTGTGAAAGCTTCTTCAGTCACATTCTGACGGTCATGGGAACTCATTTTGAAGCAAAAACTTAACGCGCGTTGTAGATTAGCCTAGCCTGCTACCGCTAACTCCTTCTGGACTCGAGCTCTGCGTGACGTCTTCGTCACCACGCACTCACGTAGTTGTGTCGCACCTTTTTCTGTCCGGGTTGAAACGGAAGCGGCTGTAATCCTATCGAAATATCAAAAATGTGCTTAAAACTCACATCACCGTTATTGAATAAAAGTATATCGCGATATATATCTATCGAATTATTGTCCAGCTCTACTATGTGGTAGTGCAAAACCTACTGTCAATGTGTGAAAACGACAGAAACCGTGTTCAAGTGTGTTAAACAGCCGTTTAAAACACCACTCTGAATATATTTTAATTGATAATTGTCCCTTGTTTTGGAAAATTGACAAATTCAAATGAGTAAAATTCAATTAAATTTATTTTCTATGGTACTGAAAAGGAACCTGGGGTTATTTTTATTCTCATCAGCTAAAGATGAATAATATAAAGTTCTAGCTTTACGGGGAGCTTTTTTATAAGTTAGCAGCTTATCTCCAAGATAAATACAATTCTTCAACGTTAGTGGAGCTCTTATTTCCAGCTTTCTACATGATGACGAGTACAAAGCAATTCTCACAAAAACTCAACATTTGTCACATAGGTACAAACAAATATAATAAACACTTAAAGCTTTTAACATTTAAAACTGATTCTGTCCACGTTTTGTTTGTAGTGATGAGCAAAGGGTCGTGGTTGCAGGTGTAGCTGTTTGTCACGTGCGATCTGAACACCTGTGTGTTCAGATGTATTTTTCCTAAATCAGTTAAAGGTGCTGTAAGGTGTAACGTGGTCAGATGAGCACGGATAGCTGCACGGTTGAGCATTGTGAGCGAATACAAGGTTGAATTGTGGAAGTTGCCTCATTTCCCCCCAACAACCGAGCGCGTTTGCACATTTTACAGCTGCGAACATCTTGTGTGCTGCCTAGTTGTTACACAAATAACGAGTGTCTGTAAGTTGACGTTTTCTGTCAGTCGCGTTGGGTATTCCATACACTGAGGCCTATGAGTTGTGTCTGTGGAGCTGTGCGCGGGCCAAGGTTATTTCTTACTCCTGGTAAACATCCTGGCTCTGGGTGTACACAGATGGTGGGAAACAATGGACTGGAACTGAGCAGCTGAGAAACGGAGACCCTTAAAGGAACACGGCAGCTTTTTATGTTAAAGCTACGTATGAAACGTTACCTCAAGCTCCGTCCGAGCGTTTAGTGTTCGTTTACGCCGTGAAAACAGCTTTTACAGGCTTTAAGCTCATGCACGGTAAAACCGCAACAATTAAAACGTATCTGGATTTATTAGTACTCGAGTATTTTATAGATTAAAAAAAAAAACTGTCCGGTTGTTTTTCATTAAATACATTCTCAGACAATGAACAGTTATTTTTTTAGGTTACAGTTTAAAAGCTGGATAAATTAGGACTTTGAAAGTCAGTGGATGTTTCTCATTTACAGTCTATTACTCAGTTTTTATTTTATTTGTTCATTCTACTACAGGTACTTATATATATATATTTGTAGTTGCATCAATCATGTCTTTTTTTTAAAGTCGAACATGCAGTTAAAGATTAATTCTCAAACATCAGTCAGTACTTTTTGATTTAGCCTTTCTTTCAAAGGGTTTATCTTCCTGTTCTGTACAGTTTATGTGTTTAACATAAGCTTCTATTTATATATAATTAATTGTACTAGGAGTTCATTAGCAGAAGCAGACATTAAAAAAAAAAAAAACTACTACGGTAGCTTTGTTTAAAATTAACGCCGCAGAAAATTTGACTACAGATCTACAAAAAGCACTGTTTGCTGAGTTAAAACATTTAACTGACTTTAGACTTTATTTTCATTTAAAGAGTAAACCAGCTTTAGTTTTGAGGCAGCGAGCGTCCTCCTCGTGTGCCATTTGAAGAATTTAGCTTAGATCAATAATCTGTGCTGATGGACAAACAAGAATGCAGTTTTCTTTAGAATGAAGCAAAAATATTCTGCTCGTATGCAAATAAACGTATGGCTGAAGTGTCATATTAACATGTTTTAACTGCAACAATTAATTGAAAGTTGTGCATATTATTTAACAAACAACGTATGCATTGACTTTTTCATCTTTAGGCTAATTAGTTTATCATCGGTATAAAGTCCATTTGGGTATTGATCCCATAATGAGTAAAACTAACTCATGTGCAAGTCACGTGCGCACAGCTTCTTCATTTTACAACTGCAGCAAACCTGCACAGAAACAACTGCACGCCGCTGGTTTTTTTGCATTTAGCGTCGCAGACTGGACGGATGAGGCGGCGTTGTGGTCCCGTTTGAGCGAAGCTGTTGACGCTCTCGGCTTATGTTCTGATATTCAAAGGGTGGACCTTAGCAACAGTGACCGAGGCTGTACCATCTCCGTCTAACGGAGGGGGGGGGGGGAGGTCACGCTACCCACAGCAGTGCCAGCTCACAGGAAAACACGCTTTATGAAGTTTATGAAACTATAAAAAGAACTGTAATATTGTTGACTGTTTTAATGCGATCTGTTACGCAGTTATTGGCCTTTACAGTTATTGTGTGTATTTAAAGTGTGCTCCACATTCCCTGATCAGTCTTAGTGGGCACACTTAAGCTTCCTCCACTTCCTTTTGGAAATGTAAGCTTCTTTCTGCATTTCTTTAGCTACTATTCAGCTGTTTTATAGAGAAACTAGGATAACTCTGCCATTTTTTTTAGAGCTATTCAGATGAAATTTGGCATATTGGTAGATGATAACGATCCCTAATAGACTTTGAGTGAAAATCAAAAAAATTCAGCTAGTTCAGCTTATTTCAGCCGTTTCGTGCTCTTTTTCAGCTTTATTCAGCTTACTTGAACATTTTTCTACTTCTTCTAACTTATTTCTACTCATTTCAGCTTGTTATGCTCCTTTCAGCTAATTTTTTTGGAAGATTCAGATATTTCTGCTATTTCAGCTACTGTTTAGCTGTTTTATGCTAATTTCAGGTTTTTCGGTTAATTCCACTTTTTTTTTTTATCAATCCAACTTTTTCAGCTTAATTCAGCAACATCATGCTCTACCCACTTTGTTCAAGTAACTTTAGCTTCATTCTGCTTGGTTTAGCTACTATTTAGCTGTTTTTGTCCAATTGCAGCAATTTTCAACTTTTTGTGCTCGTTTTTTCTTCTTTCAGCCTCATTGGGCAAACGTGATGCTCTTTCTGCTTCCTTCTGCTAATTTAAGCTTTTTTTTTTACGCTTCTTTAGCTACTATTCAGCTGTTTTAAGATAATTATTGAGCAAAAGGCATTCACACGTGCATTTTCGAAGGAAATGCAAATTCTCTCGTTGCATTTGTTTTCATTATATACCAGGAAGTAAATAAAGTTTTCAAACGATCAGTTGAAGGAGCAGTTCGGTCACTGTCAGACTGTTCAGCTTTCAGTGTCTTACCGCGATCATTGTTGGAGGAATTGTTTCATTAAGCTCGTGCGCAAAAGTTGTTTTAAAGTTGTCTGAACAAATTCAGCTTATGAGCTGAAATAAATGTTTGTTTTGGAATTGATGGACGACAGAATCGCCTTTTTTCTCCTCCCATGTCTTTTCTGCCCTCTCTCCACCTGGCGGTCTCTTCCTCACTCCTCGTGCAAGCCATGCATTGCCACATGTGTGTGTGCGTGTGTGTGTGTGTGTGTGCGTGTGCGTGCAGCTCGCCGAACGGCAGACCGACTGAGAGGAAAGCCTTGAGGGAGGGAACTTAAAGAGATGGCCGGTGTTTTGTAATGGGCACTCTGTGCAGACTTCACTTCATAGATGGCTGCCTCTGTGGCGCTGCTGCTTGTTCCTCTTTGGCTACTGAAGAACCCTCCCCCCATATGTCATTAAAAGAAGGGGGGGGGGGGCAGGAGGCGGAATTGGTCTACAGGTGTGCGTTTGTGTGAGAATGGCAGACATTTTGTTTTTGTAGCGCCAAGTAATCGTTTCAGTTTAACACCGAGCTTGAGTAAAAGTGCAAACTGCGGAAGCGGTTTTGTATTTAGTTTTGCTTTATATTGATTTAAACTGTAATTGAAACAGAACAATACATATTATTTATTTCAATTCACAGCTTTAACTTTATCACTCATAAGATCTGTGATTCTGGGGGTACTGGAGACATCACGCCAGTTTGTAACTATTATGGTTTTGTGTATTATTCTTGACATCGGAACAACTGGGACATGAGTGGTCGCCCAGAAATGACAAATACTTCACATCAGTTAACCTACTGTATGTTCAATGCTAAGAAATCACTTTATCGTAACCTCAAAGTACCGACAAATGCCACAAAAATATTATGATACATCCTCACAAACGAAATTAAAAATATATATTTGCTTGTAAATGGTTTTCACTACTACTTTTACATAGTGTGCAACACTGAAGGAGCAAAAGAAAAAGGATGGCAGTCCTAAAATACCCAGCTGCACAGAACACCCGACGTGTTCCCGTCTGCTTCTGTGACTTCTTGGTTTTACTAGTTATAGTACTGATATTTACTTAGAAAATGTCTCCGCAGTACCTGTTAATGAGTTCTGCATTCTGTCCCGAGTTAAGTGTTGTGCACGGTCGGTTACCGTTCCCAGCCGTCCTCCTCGTAAATTACGTGGTGCAACCAAACTGACACGGTGAAACCTGCCGCACCTGACCATTTAGTGCCGCTCTTGTTGGTTTTGCACTTCCCAGTTTCGTTACCTGTGGTGGGCTGAGTGAGAGTTGCAGGAAAAGCAGGTTCCTAAATAATCATAAATGTACTTCCTGTTCTGACGCTACCAAGTCATACCTTAAACAAGAGCACTGGTTTGTCTTTTATGTGATAAAGTTTCATCCCGACATATGAAATTATGCTCCGACACTCCAGAGTTCTTCTTTGTTGACCATCAAGGACCTTTATTTAACAAAGTAAAATAAATTGGGGGGTGGACAGTTGAACCCATTGGCACATGACAACTCTGGCTTCTTGGAGGATGAGTTGTTCATTTTGCAAATATAACTGTGAAATTGAACAACATATGTGTAGATTTGTGTAGTACAGCTGTAATTAGTGCATTATGATGTATTTTCTTATATTATTTAAGCCTTGGTTATTCAACCCCTCGTCTCTCTGGGCTATTGGAATCACATGTTCCCTCTCGGGCCCGATATCATCTGATCAGCTGCTTTAGGCTGTTGACTATTTAAAGTTACCAACAAATATAAATTTCAGTTGTATTTAGCACAAGGCCTTTGGTAAAGAAGGTTTTTCTATTAGCACAACCTTTATTTTAATCTTCTTTCAGTGAAAATCGGCTCCGTTCAAGTGTTGACTGAAGTTTGGCTTCAACTTGCAGTTGTTTCAGTTTCAGAGATTAAAAAAAAAAAAAAAAAAAAAGACCTTTTATGTTGTGGATTTTTCCTTTCAGTTTCAGTTTTCACTTTTTCAGAGTGCAGAAGCGGACGGTCCAAAGCTGCGCGTAGATATGATCGTTTTGACCGCGTTAAGTGTTTTTTTGTTGGTTTTTAACGATAATAAGTTAAAAGTATGCAGATTGTCGCCTCCCGGAAACGAGGCTAATTTGTATTTTGTGCTGATTCAAAGCCGTGCTCCCGTTCCTCACTGTGGCGGATGGATCTATTTAAGTGCTTTGTGTTTGCAACACAAGGACTGAGGAGGAGAGGGGTGATCTGAGGTGAAACGTAAACGAGGCTGCTCCAGAAGAGCGATTGTCCTGCGAGCAGCGTGCCCCTGCAGCCGCGCTTAATACTTGTGTAACAATGGCGGTTTGTGTTTTCCCTGCGCAGGGATTTCAAAGGGTTTCTGTTTGTACACATTTTACAGATTTTTATTTTGATTATGAACTTAACCTCATGTTCATGTTGTGTACGGTTTGTCGCTTTTTACAGCTTCCTCAAAAGTAGATTCATTTATCTCAAATATTTATTATTTTTGAATAAACAAAATTTAAGGCATTAACTTCTAAATTTTTTACAAACGTAATGCAGTTTAAGCACTTGGAGCATGTAACGAAACCAAATTTGTTTTGTTTACTAGAAAAAAAACGTGTTACCGATTTCAATTTCATGTGTTTTGTGTGTGTTTTTTTTTTGTTTGTTTGCTTTTTCAGGTCAGTTTAAACTGAAAATGAGTGCAGTAGGGGAAAGCCCCCTGGACCCTGCCACGCCAGAGTCACGCAAGAGGAAGGTCTCGCCATGCGACACATCGGGGCAAAGGTAAACGCCCAGTCTTGTCATTTGCCACAGCACAAACAAACATTACGTCAGGCTGACAAACGTGTTTTAAAATGACTGGTACACGATTAAACCCAAAACAAGGACTCCAGTGGACTTTATAGTTCTCCGTATCTCCGGTGTTGCATAAAGAAGAGACGCACACACACACACACACACACACACACACACACACACACACACACAC